CGCCAACTGCCCTTCTGAATTATCGAATGGGGATTTTCGCAACGTTAAAGATATTCCTAATTGTCGATAGCAACAAAAACGCGAGTCCCAGGAAACTGTTGAAATGGAGTAGTTGCGATCGTTAGAGTAAGAACTTTACTCATCTAACGTTTGGGTTTATGCTCACATCTATCATCAGAGACAGCACCGGATACCGTCTCTAGGGATGGATGAGATCGAGCATGAATCCGCAACAACAGATGAATAAAATCTGTGTCGACGATCTTATCTACACTTTATAAAGCCCACAGTATTCCTGAAATGCCAATTGCAGACTCGTGCTACGGCATCCACTGCAATCGACTAGTCCGAACATCTGCCAAATAAGACAGATAACAACGCCAGAATCTAGTCTCCTTGAGTGTCGATGCCATTTTGCACCTCGTACACAAGAATTCTTCTTGCTCCGTCGACACAAAATATAACTAGTGGAAGTTAGCGCAGCACAAGGTGGACACTGCCTGCTTCCGAGCTAGGTTCGCCAGGTCATGGTTTGTGGAGCACTTAAACGCAGACGATGAGAACTAGTTCCATCTTCACAGTGCTGCTGTTGACATCTCTGGTCGACATTGTGTTGAAATCATTTTGATTGATTAGTCAAAAGTTTCTTTGCCCTGCTTCCGAGCTAGGTTCGCCAGGTCATGGTTTGTGGAGCACTTAAACGCAGACGATGAGAACTAGTTCCATCTTCACAGTGCTGCTGTTGACATCTCTGGTCGACATTGTGTTGAAATCATTCTGATTGATTAGTCAAAAGTTTCTTTGCAGACGGGTGTCACTGAAAATCGCTATTATGCGTATTCATTCTGCCGTTGGCATCGTCACATTTTTTGCGGTGGGCGGTCAACCGTTTCCGACTTTATAAGAAGGTAACATGTGGCTCAACATGACACTTTTTATGGGAGGTAGAATTCCAGGATATGGAAGTACAACGCCTCCGCAAGGTGAGTCGTTTGCTTCTGCACAACCGAAAACCGCTGCGCGGATGGTGCTAAACTTGTTAATTTGTCGCACTAAACTGCTCTGTCGTTGCTAGTACCTGTTCTCGGCATCCCAACTGACATCCATTCACCTGACCCTTAGCTGATGGTCAGACAATTAAATTGCCTTCGCACCTGTCCGAGCGTACTGGCTCACCTCAGTGCTATGCGCGGTGCCATCGCCGGCAGTGACAATGATTTGCACTGTGAGGGCTCAGCGCTAGCTCAGAATAAGTATATTCGAAAAGACCATATCTGTGACGCTATAGGGGCGTATTCTTTTGAAGTTAACTGTCTCGCATGAAATCGAATTGTCTAAGAGGTGCTAGAAGACAGCAGACGTTGCTGTACGTAGTTTACCTGGAAGGCAACGGTCGAACACTGATTTTAAAGAAGGGTCGCAGGTAGTTGTTCAAAAAATACAATGGAATAATCCTTCTTGACAAGTGCGACTTGGCCGGTATGCGCGTTTCTCGACACAACTTACTTGAACGGATGTTCGAATGCAACCACTTACCCACAGTCTACTTGTCTGCGTCCTGCTGTTTGTCTAGGTGTTTGATTGCATACGCCAGTATTTCTTTTATCGCATGATGTATTGCAATAGAAGACACTTAGATACCACAGAACATGGAAGATTAGTACTTTGCTGTCGTCGGCGTGCGTCAGAGCCGTACTGTTTTACCAAGCCTACTCAACTACGCGATAGGTCAAATTCTTGGTCATATCGTGCGAATTACAGCAATATGCGACTGTCACTTTGCTGCAGACCTATAGATTAAGGACTCTTTCTCAGGTCTCTAAAGTGCAGTAGGTGCGAGGGCAGCCGAAAAGGGTCTCAAGGCTGGTTCACTCAAAAGAAGCGCGGCCGCCTCGGCCTTCGT